AGTAGGAGACTTTAGCAGAGTTGGACAAAGTGGTCATTATGTCCTCCGGTAGATTAAGCAACATAATTACTGAGGTGGCCCATTCTATAAGCTTTATCGTTGTTATTGGTTATTGTACAGCAATGATTTCAGCTGATAGTCCAGAAGCTGTGAGAATGTGGAGAGATAACGGTGAACAGGAGAGCAGCAGGGAGTGTCACTATCAGGCGTGTAACAGGAGAATCGAACAGAGGCTGAATGAAAACAAAGACTTTTATGTCCTGGGAGGAGAGGAGAGATTATCAGGACTGGAACTGGGAGTGTGCTTCACTGACTGTAAGGAAAGGAGGAAACTGAGGCGCTGAGGGAAACTAATGGAAGAGAAAGACTGAACAAAATCCCAAAGGAAACACAGAGAACAGGGTAGACGAAACCATTCCGGAATATGAAGACTCTAAATGAAAAACTAAATGCACAATCAGACAAATAAGAAAGCGTAGGAGCTGGAAAACACTAAAAACTCTAATCTGAAGGAACAATGGTAAATAAATAGATATGACATAACATCTGTCATGAACATGAAGGAGTCTTCATGAATGTTTATGACTGTTGTTATGAAGCGTCATTCAGTAAATAACACATTTAATGCAAAGTCGACAATTTTAATTAACTTTTAATGCAACTTTTAAAGCAGCTTTGCATTAAGTGTCATTCTTTACTGAATGACGCTTCATGACAACAGTCATAAACCTTCATGAAGACTCATGACAGATGTTGTGTCATATTTATGACAATCAGCCTTATGATCACTGTAAGTGTTACCATTTTTTTCTACTTACAGCTATCAAAAAGGATGAGCTTTCCAACAAAAATCAGTAAACAGTTCAGGTTCACAGGCAAACAAGACTCGCATCCATCCAACACACAACATGTCCGTCTGCGTAGCTGTAGGCCGGTGAGGCGTGTTTCTTTGGTCATTATTTTGCAGGGAGACGTTGGGTCTTGGTTATGTGGATGATGCAAAATATTTTGGCTGTCCCCGTTAAATCACAGACTTTCTTAGACCTTATCTAAATTCCTCAGACATTCAAATTGCGCAAATCCCAGCTGTGCTAAGAACGTGGAGAAGGTGAGGAAGAAGTTGGACTGCTGGAGGCCTCGGTCAGTGAGTCACGGTTAATGATCCTGCTTTTAAAGCTGACCGACTCAATGTCAGTCTTCATGTTATAACCGATTTGTGTATCTCTCCAAAAACAAAAGCCTCTACTGTAAAGAGGCCGCAGTGATGTAATGTGCAGGGGGAGTGGGGGAATGTCTCCTGATGGTGTGGGACTGTTTTCCTCCCAGTCATGATGCTTTTAGTCAGGCTTCCTCCATGACTCACTCCATTCTGTTCCTCCCTCACTTCGCCTCGTTGTCCTCCCTCCAACTCACCCTCCTTCTTTTATCTCCTCTCTTTCTGTCTGTATCACATATTTACCATCCATCCATCCATCCATCCATCCATCCATCCATCCATCCATCCATCCATCCATCCATCCATCCATCCATATATATATATATATATATATATATATATATATTCACACATTTTGTTAAGCCACAGTTTTTCTCTATTATTGTTTTGCTGATGATGCTTTAACTCTCCTCTCCTCTCCTCTCCTCCCCTCTCTCCTCTCGTTCCTCCCC